CTCACCAGAGAGACAGATAGAAAGCGAGAACTCACTCCCTAGGGAAGCAGGGAAGTAGCTTCCCGAGAGAGACAAGGTACCTCAGCAGCAGGTAAGTTTTGCTTTCGTGGATGTAAGAATCTCGCCCAAGGGAACTCTAGACCTTTTCTAGCGTAGTAAGTAGTTTCAAGGCAAAACCTTATGAGATTAAAATACGAAACAAGAGGGGAATGGCCAGGCCGCAATCCCTTCTCCTCCTTCTCCTTTTGGGATCTTGGGCACCCAAGAACAGGCACCTGACCTGAGTTTCAAGCCCTTAGGATTCACACCTTAATCGGCCTCAGGGGAGTCCAGCGCCTTAACCACTACGCCACCTGCTGGCCCCTCTTGTTTCGTATTTTAAGATCATAAGCTTTGGCCTTGAAACGACTACACTAGAAAAGTCTAGATTTCCCCAGGCCAGAGTCTTAACATCCACGAAAGCAAAACTTAGCTGCTACTCTGAGGTCCTTGGAAGCAAAACAGCTATGTCGCTTACAGGAAGCTGCCCGCCTGCTTCACTAGTACATGAAAATTGGGAGAACACGGGTGGCGGTGAGGGACCCGTGACAGACTGCGCGACAGAAAGGAACCTGCTGGCGATCATCTGTGTGGGAACTGGTGCGGGCCGGACGGCTGGTTCTGGACGTGCCACTATGTTGGAAAATCAAGCTCTGCTTCGTGGGCTTTGCCCATTTCCTCTCCAGGTTGCTAAGTGGACTGAGTTTTCCTCTGAAACTTTGCTTTTCTCATGACACTTCGGCACAGGGCACTTTACAATCCCTTCAAGAATTTCATGGACATTTATAAATGCAGGAAGCTATTCAGGGCCCTCAAAGGGCCTCAACTGCCCAGCTCTCTCCTAGAGTGGAGTGAGCTTTTATCCTACAAACGTGAAAAGCGGGGCCATGGCACTTTCACACGTGGGGGGGTGCTGAAGGGCTGGCAGGAGGAAGGGGGGTTAATCTCAGCGATTAAAATGCTAATGTTTTATTTGAAAAGGAAAACCTTTGATTTTTGAGAAAAGAATTCTAAGATGAAGACATTTCATTTCTCTAAGTTACGAAAGACTTGGCAGATAACACATTAAATGCCACAACATCCAATTAGGAAAATGACACTTGGGGCTCGCTTCTCTGGAGGGACGGCTTGGTTTTTCCGCCTTAATGGAAAGAGATACTACACCAAATGCGTGGACAGTTTTGAGAGTGATCTGGGTAGCTTAGCAGGTCGCAAGAATGGGCTTCCCATGGGAACACTGGATTCTCCCGAAATTAATTTTTGCTTTTATCAAAATAATACAACTACGTTGTTGGACATTACATCAGAGAATTAACAGGATTAAAATAAAAAAGTCTTACCCTTGTCTATCTTCCATTTCTACTGCCCAGTGGCTTTCATCCCTACATTCATTCAGTTATTTAAAAAAATACAGGCAATAAATTCAGTTATTAAATGATGACTTAACTGAGGGCAATTATGGGGCCAGGCATAACGGGAGGCTTTGTCCCGGGAGACTCTGCGTCCCGCTGTGGGAAGCCACGGTGAATACGCCCTTGCATCTGAGTTCGCTGGTGGTGACACGGGAGGAGAGGCAGGGCAGGTGGTGACATGGGAGGGGAGGCTGTCATCCCCACGGCCCTGGCCCTCCTGCTCCTCCTCCTCACGTGCTCATGTGCTGCTTCTTGACTCACCAGCTTCGGACATGCACTCCGGCCTCCCTGATAGGGAAGAGGAGGTGCCTGCTCATTCCCAACCTTTTCCCTTCTGCCCCCAATTTGCTCCACACAGTTCTCGCCATAACAGAGGAGAAGGGAGCCGTGCCTTCCATATCCCTAGGGGCACTGTCACCTGAGTGGGTACAGGGCAACAGTGGATGCACGCGGCACCGAACACTGTCCTCGCAGTCCTGTCTTGGACACCTCAAGTGGTGGAGTGGCGAGAAGTCAGCAAAGGCGCAGGAAGGCCCAAGGATGACAGTGCCAGGGAGGGCTCCCGGAGACGGGGCCTCAGAGGAGGAACCTGCAGACTCTCAGATGTGTAAGGGTGTGGGAGATTATCTTGAAGATTGTCGACACATATAGAATATGAAGCAAATGAGGGTTGTTATAAAGACTGAAAGTTAACAACGTGCAAAGCCGTGTCTTAAGGAATGGTGTCATTGCTGCCAACATTCCTGAGTATCCGCCAGACCTGTGACCCCACAGAGTGGTCCTCGTGACTCCTGGCTAGACTCAGTGGATGTTGTTATCATCCTAGTCCACTTAAACTGCCCAGTTCATGCAGACAGCCCCACCCATCGCCTATCCACCCGATACGCTGTAAGGACGTTGGTGATGGGAACCGCTTTGCACCTCCAGGCCAGTGTTGCGCCTGAGACACTGGAGATGCCCCAGCAGCGTGTGTGAGACATGCACACGGATGAATGTGTTCCACGTGGCTGCTCCGCACTGGTCTGACTTTCAGAGTCGACTTCTCAAACTGGGAGGACGCAGGCCCTGTATTGGGACCTGCCGG